TTCCAAGTCAGGTCTTGTCATCAGCTCACCATGTCTACACACTCCGCCGTTGCAACAGTGGCTAAGAAGGCGCCTCTTGAGATCATCCAAGTTCCCACTACAACTCCGGAAGCGCAGCAGGTTCGCCTTCGTGTTGGGTGCACTGCCTCCACGCCCCTCGATCTACATCAAAACGACGGAGCCTTACTCGTAAAGCACCCTCAGGTCCTTGGTGACAGTGTCGCTGGTACCGTGGTCGAAGTAGGATCGGAAACCAAGCGACTGAGGGTTGGAGACAAAGTGTTCGGCTTTACCTGGAAGATCCAAGCTCAAAAGGCCTATCAGGAATTCTGTACTACAGACGAATGGCTTCTGGCCAAGGTAAGCTACACCCCATCTTGTCGATTTGTCAGGCAAAGGCTGAAGTGTTGCAGTTACCTGAAGGCTTCACCCTGATGGAGGCTGTAACGCTTCCTAACAACTTCGTAACTGTGTTCCACTCTCTCACGACAGACCTAGGCCTCGAAACACCCTGGCCGAAACCCGAGAATTATGTACCTGACGATGCCGACTCTGCGATATTGGTCTGGGGTGGCTCCTCGTCCGTGGGTCAATTCGCCATCCAGATTCTGCGCTACTACGGTTACAAGAACATTCTGGCGACAGCGTCACAGAAACACCACGAGAAGCTACGCATCCTTGGCGCGCACAAGGTGTTCGACTACAACAATCCAGATGTCGTTGAGTCTATCCTGAAGTCTGGTGGTGACCGCGGAGTTCCACTGGTCTATGACTGCATCGGCAGCCTGAAGGGTAGCATCGCACCGATCGCCAGACTTGCGAAGAAGGGTTCCAAGGTCGCTATACTACTGCCCGTGGTTGTTCGCGACTCGACCGACACCGAGGATCCAAAATATGAGATGGACGTAGGCAAAGTGGCCAAGTGGAATGACGGGGTCGATGTGAGAGGCGTGCGAACACATTTCTACCAAGACGTGAGTCTTACCGTGTTCTGGTCATAGAGGCGCAGCTAACACTCCACAGAATGAGTTCTTTAAACATCATCTTCAGCCCGACATCATGCCGACTTTGTTGAAGGATGGTGTCGTGACGCCGCAAAAGCAAAGGATCGTTGAGGGCGCGACGCTGCTGGAGAGGGCGCAGAAGGCGATGGACATGCTGAGACGCAAAGAAGCGAGTATGGAGCGTCTTGTCTGGCGGGTCAGCGACGCATAGTTAGCGATCATAAACCGTTGGTATATCTCTTGTGAACCTGCAAGTTCAGTGGAGAGGGTCAAGAGCCAGATGGATGGTTGGCCCGTGGCTGAATGGATGGCTGCCCACCTGGGCAGGTGGGCATGACGCGCTTACCGGAACCAGCCGGTAGCGCGCCTTGAACATCCAACTGCGCACGTGCGGGCATCTCTGATTTGAACACCACCTGGTCAGTCACAGGAACATGAACGAGTAAACAATCCCAATCAATGCGCAATGCAACCAGCTACCCTGGGTGGTCTCTTTCATGCTGTTCATCCTTCACTCCAACGTTGATCGTATGCCTCGGCATCGCCATGATCATTAGTCGATGTCCAGGTCTGTGGTAGATGCGGAAACTAATCGAACCCGCATGTTGATCGCTACCGTACTTACATTTCGATGGAAGGCGAGGGTATATTCGAGGGACCAAGGCTATAACGAGATGGCTAAGCTTTCTCGGCAGCGGTGTCCCCCATGTCTTTCAGGAGTCTACAAGCAGACAAGCTATTCGAAGTTCGCAGAGCTTGTGTGGCCTTCATGAAGAGGGACATGTTGTGGCCGACCACGTGCGAGACCTTCGCATTAGGAGCCACTCTGTATCAAACACTAGATCCAGCGACCTTCTTTATGGCATCCGGTCCACCCGTAGCAGTATTCCTACACAGCCATACTGTCCGATAACGCCGTTTCCAAAGTAATGCGGCGCCTTTAATCACCGCAGAGTAATTCGGTCTCCGGCGCCGCAAAGGTGCAAGAACGATGCATGGGAGGGACTCGGGTTCGCTGTGCAGGACATGCGGTCACTTCGCACCCACCAAGCACACACAGCACTGACACCTGGACCGGACACCGATCTCCACTCACTGAGTTGTTCATAACATCGGAGATGAAAATGTGGTGTTGACGAAGGATCGAGGCGACTCAGCATCATCGCACGCGAGATTGAGCGGCTCCACCAATTTCCGAAGGGCTAGCGCCGAAGCCGCCTTCCGATCAAGCCACTGCCACCGGTTCAGTCTGATTTCATCCAACGCAACGCAGGACAAAAACTCTTCGAACTCTTCATATGGCGTTCAATGCATCGCAGAAAAGGTAGCGCGCGGTATCGATACACATGACGCAGTTGAAGATCCTGCAATATGGCCGACCAGGTCGGTGGGGAGCGCCACAATCGCATGCATTAAGCCTCGGAGCACCTGAAACCCACCGTACGCTCGCGACCGTTTCAACCCAGGATCATGGGCGCTTCTACCAGGTAGGACGGTTCGTCTATACTGCCATCTAGGGTTAGCCACTTACGAGAACCGGTTGGTTTCCTGTCAACAGGCATGGTGGCCGCTGTCGCGGGAACATGTTTGCTTGGCCTGCAGTATCGAACGGCACCCTGCGATCTTAGTCACAACATCGCTCCCTGTGACTGGTGGATGAACCGGTTCAAGCATGACAAGAGGACCCACGCCACGTCTGACATCTCAGGAACAGGCAGGGCGTGGGAGTCGTTTGAATCGGGGGCACAGTAAGCGCTGTTCGAGGCTGCAATCCATCGGTCACTTGTTTCGCATGTTTAATGACACGGCCCACAGATTGAGTGGTGAACAGGAATAGTGCCATGCCGCCGTATCGTATATAGGTATCTTGGTACTCTTGGGTTTCCTCCATCAAACAACAGTTTCTTCACTTCCAACCACAGCTTCCTTGTGCATCTTAGGTCCGAGACCTCACGTTCTTTTCAACACCACATTCATTCATCACACTCGTTCACGAAGCTAGTCTTCCGTCGATCTATACAGCAACTCTCGCTCTTCTCAAACAACCCAACATCAATCACAATGAAGTCCTACACTGTCGCCGCCGCCATTGCTGGCTTTGCCTCCTCCGTCGCCGCCCACGGCTTCATCAGCGAGCCCGCTCCTCGTATGCCCGGTGATGGCCTCAAGGCTGCCTGTGGTGACCAGTTCTACAACACCCAGAGCTCCGACCACTACGGAAACGTCCAGGGTGCTCTCCAGAACCTCGGACAGGGTGACCACCCCGACTGCCGCCCGTGGCAGTGCAAGGGTGTGCCATTCACCGATGCTGGTGAAATTTTCGAGTACACCGCCGGACAGGTCATCCCCATGAAGGTTGAGATCCGTGCTCCTCACGACGGTGTCGCCAACGTTTCCATCGTCAACATCGCTACCGACAAGGTCATCGGCGAGCCTCTCATTAGCTGGGACGAGTACGCCCTCACCTCCTCTCCCATGTCTGCTCACCCTGACTGGACCTCGTTCGACATCACTATGCCCGATGTCAGCAAGGAGTGTGCCAACAAGGGTGACTGTGTCATTCAGTGGTTCTGGGATGCCCCCAAGATCGACCAGACCTACGAGTCCTGCATTGACTTCACCATGGGTGGTGGCTCCGGCTCCGGCAACGGCTCTGCCCCCGCGCCTTCAGCTTCTCCCAAGCCCAGCGCTCCTGCCGCTTCCGCCCCGGCTGCCAGCTCTGCTGCTCCCTCCAGCACCGTCCCTGAGGCCACTGCCACCCCCACTCCTACCGCCGCTGAGGAGGCCGCTACCCCTGTCGCCACCGGTGGCTCCGACTCTGGCTCCGACTCCAGCCTCCCAGAGTCCTTCACCATGGACACCTTCATCACCTGGCTCCGCGCCAACGCTGGCACCGGTGTCGCTGACAAGGTCCGCCGCATGGTAGCTGCCCAGCGCGCTCACCCCCGTGCTTTCCGCGTCTAAATTGCTTAGACGGATGCTTGTACGATAGGTACGACATACAAAACTTCTTGTGTAGGGAGGAGAAGATGGCTAGAGTTACTGTTCGATTCTGTTGTAAATATACAATTCAATGATGCACATATTTGCTCGCCTTGCGCGGCGCTATAAACCTTGTCGAAACGTGGTCCTTGTGATGTTTGTGCTCTCTACTTCATCTCTTATTCAACTTTTGAGATTTGTTAGTATCGGTGACGAGTTGGAGCTTTGCAGCTTCCCGAATGGTGATCAGACCTGGCTGCTTTGTCCTTATGAAGAATGGGGAGGCAGGGCAAGAGAGCTATCGGCTTTGCGTTCCCGTTGATGACGTCACCATCGCGAAACCCACGCGACGCGTGTCCGGCGTGTCGGCCACCTAAGTACTTGTCAAATCCACCACCCTTCTCGCATGCGCATCCACTATCCGAATATATCATTGTATGGCTGCGGAATGAATGATATAGTATTTACGATTGATTAAACTACGAGCTAATAATAGATTACAACATAAGAATAGAGCTTCCACAGCTCCGCGAATGACGTCTCCAAGACCGGAGTCCACACTCTAACTACAACACCGCCGCCAAAGCTCTCTATCTTCATTACTGAACGACTCTCGACTACAAGAGACAATGTACAAGACAACAATTATAGACAGTACCACAAATTCGCACAGCGCCAACGTATACTGGGGAATAATCAATCGGGACCAGTTGCCACACTACCCAGGTGGTCAACAAGAAGAGGAAGGAAGGTCGGGAAGAACCACTGCAAGTTCAAAGTACGTCTCCTAGCGCTTGCGAATGCAATAGTACGTCGCCCCGCCATCCAGAATAGTACATACCCACTTTGAACAAGAAAAGGTCTGAACAGGTCTGCAGCCTACATTAACATGGAACCGTGCAAAGCAGGTAACATACGCCGATGTAGGCTCCAGGTCTGTTCAAGTTCTTCCTAGGTTGACATGTGCTCATGGTATAAGGGCTGGCTCTGACGGCTGCTGGGGGTACCTGACATTCAGTGCCCGCTGTCCTGGTGCTGCCAGGGGTCGAAGACGTTCCCACCTACAACATCGTTCACGGTGAACGAGGGCAAAAGCTCCATATCCGCAAGGCAGACGCCCATCTCAGGATGTTGTGCGAAGAGGTTGGCATTGCTCGACGCGTCGTCTGGCGGGAACGGTTCCACACCATGCTGCCAGTCCTCAACTCCTGGGAAATCCGAGCTGCCGACTGGATCCAAGTGTGCGAATACGCCAGGAGAGGCTGCATCTGAGCGAATTGCATGTCCCCAAGGACTGAAGAACGGGTCTGTGTTCCTGTTCGGTGGCTTAACGTCATCGGGGCTAGCTGAAGCTGAGAACCTGCTCCGTGGCATCGGCGGAGGTGGGAAGGGCGAATGCTGAGTAGGTGAGATAGAGGTGATTGGCGAGAGAGGCTGACCCTGTGGAGTCTGCGCTTGTGTGAATGATGACTGCATAGGAGGCGACGATGCGGAGACAAGACGTTGGTCGATCGAGGTATGATACGATCGAGGTGGAGGATGCATGGCTGGGGCATGAGGTGCTAGAAACCTAGACGGAGGGCTGAAGGCCGTCATTCGCTGGGCCACTGGCGTAGTGAAGTACGGTGAGCCTATCGGTCCCGAAGACTCCTGCGGTGTGTTTCCACGCGACAATGGCAGCTCAGAAGCTGGTGAAGAGTGACCACGCGCCTGTCCGGTCCGTGGAGCAGCGCTGGTACGAGCCCTCTTCGATGCGCGCGGATTGTCATCAGGTACACTGTGACCTTTCGCGTTTGGCCTCTTGCTATTACCCACTCGGTTCTGATCCTTACGCTTGGAGTACGCCTTAGGTGCGTTAACGAACATGCGGATCTGCCATGCCGAGCACATGACGTTCTCGCAAATACACTTCTCTTGTGCGAGGGCGGTGACGATGTTATCTAGCCGGCCGGCACAGTCGGTGTCTTTGTCCTCGTCCTCGCCCTTGCGCTCGTCGTTGACATAGTCGTTCTGCTGCCAACCGCGGAATCCTTTCCTAACCTGCTCGAGCAGGCAGTCAAACACCTTGTGGGCGTATGCTTCCACCAAGTCGGACTGGTAATGCGGCTCTTCGATCCATCTCTTCCGCGCAGTTGATTTGGGGTTGTCTCTAGCATGATCGCCGCTGACCATCGCGTTATAGATGCGCTCTACGTTGCGGTCGCGATCACGCTCAACCATCTCGATGGTTGGGTCAGTGGCAGGATCTCTCCATGGCTCACGGTTGAATCGCATCTTGTTCTGTCGGTATTCTTTCGCGTGCCCGGAGTCATTGAAAAGACCCCGGAACGGTTCGTAAAGCTGATGTGCCGCCTGCGGTGCCATGCTAGAACGTTCTGTCGACGGCATAGGCGCGAGCGAAGGGCCTTCCCTGGAGATAGACCGCTGATGTATCGAGTATGCATGCGCGGGACCTTTGCTCATGAGTTCGCTGGTTCGACAGCTCGGGCTGGTCAGATCAACGTAGCTATTGACGCCACGCAAATGGTTGTTGTCGCTGTGGGGAACGAATCGCGATGTCTGCATGGCAATACGTGGATCGTGCGATACGATAGTGGCCGCTTCGAATCCGGTATCCGACATGTAAGATTGGCTGAAGTCGTTTGCATGACCGTAGCGTTGGCCGGATGGCCCGCGGGATCCATGCGAGGATCCCGCGTTCTGGGGACTGTGTGTGGCCTCTCTCAAGTAGCTGCGATTGCCTTCGACGTCAAGCGGGGTATAGACATGCCGTTCGGCAAAGGTATCGCCAGGTTCGTGTTCGCTTTGGCGGAGTGACTTCTCCGCCTGGCGCGGAGATTCCTTCATGTAAGTGCTGATACTTCTCGCAGGTACGAAGTGTTAAGTGTGATGTAGGGTTTGAAGAGAGAGAAATCAGAGGGGGTATTGGTGCTGATATGTAGGAATATGTGATCGGGAATAATGTGAAGAAGGGCTGGGAATGTAAAGCTCCCGTATCAATGTGCCTCCATATATCGTGAAGAGCCGGGCTTTATACATTGAACGAACGCTCACCGCAACCGCTGTGTCGGTCCGTCGCTCAAAATACCCGTTGCTACTCATGGCCTTTCGCGATGCCTTGTGATCAGGCAGTGCGTTGGGAGCTCGTGGGGTTGCTGGAGATGTGGAATGCGTTCGTGACGGGGGCTTCAAACCCCCACACGTTTGTTGCATGTGCCATGTGCAGCTCAGGTACGTGTTTGAACATCAGCTCGTTCCGGTGCCGCGCTGCTCACGTGTCGCGGGCCGCGCATCGGAGCGGTGGTGCCATTGTCCAGACTTAGCAACGAGGCTCTTGTGATTCGCTGCGATCGTCTCCGGTCGTCTTCTCCGTCTCTTTGACTCTTCGTCAGTTGCGTGGGACTATCCAGCTGTGGTATTCACCTTTGCATAGCCTTGATGTGACATGGAACTTCCGCCGGGGCCATGCAAGCATGGAATCGGCTGGGTGTGACTTTCCATCATTAGGTTCAAGGTCGCCATAGACGCTGCGCTGGCAAGCACATGCTACATCACGCGGAAGAAGATGCGGAAGGGCACTTCAATCCAAATTCATCACGTATTCCGCAATCTTCGCTCTTTGGCTGAGTCTGAGCCTGTGCGAAGGAGCTACTGTGTTAATAGCAGCGGCGTCAACAGTCATCTGTAAGAGTACCGTCCAGCACAGGAATGGGATGGAGGCAACAAGAATTTGGGTATTCTCGCTAGTCTCGCGAATCAATGGGACATTCGGAATTGAAAAGAGTGTGTATTTCTAATCGATAGATAGATGCTCATATCCTAGAAAGCGATCAATGATTGATGCTACACAGTTGGAATATCCCTTCTGTCTTTCTTCTGATAAGGTTGGCCATCGTTGTCCTTGATTGTCATGTCAACCCAGTCGTTACCTTCAATTGCGTGAATCGCTGCTTTCAGGTCAGCACACTGTCCTATCGACCTAGACGCAACTCACCATTCTCGCTTCGGACTACGTAAAGGTGGTACTTGAGTGGATACTCAGGCGCAAAATAGACATGACCTTTCCCAAAAGGGGTGATGAAAGTATCCATCGTTGTCATAAAGGCTTTGACTTCTTCGTTCCTCGTGAACGTCAGCCCATAGAGCTCAAAGTCTCTTCCCATAGATCCAGCGAGATTGAAGACGATCAATTTGTCATTCGTATAGCACCAGCCGGAGTCGTATTGATAAGCGTACTCGGTTGGTGCTTTCCTGCATTTGACGATCCAGAAGTTGCTGGAGAGAAACTTGATGGGCTGCTCTTGAAGCCCTGATAGATGCAGCGTAAAGTGGTATTGAGGGTCACGAAGTATAAGGCCAACACTTGGAGTGTCTTGTTCAGGTACGTCCAAAGACCTGTACCTTGCAAGTATCACTGTGTTTTAGTCAGCATTAGGAATACAGAATTTGTACCGCGCTAGTACAAGTTGCATCTCCCTCAAGCTTCAGTGACGTACAATTCTTGCTCATGCCAATCCAACGCAGCTCATGAGTTATCTGAGTGACTTCTTGTTTTATCCACTCCCCGAAGCCTAGTCGGTCTGCATGCTGAACACATCTGTTCTCGACCTCAGCGTGAGCCGTCGCACCAAGGTCGTAGCTTTGCACTTTCCAACCCTGGTTGTGGCACCATTCCGCTACGTCTCCATGAACGGTAGCTCCACAGCTATGGGTTGCGTCAACAATTTGATGACGCTCCCATGGGCCGAGCAGAATGATATGAAAAGGCGAATTGAAGTCGGGACCTGCGGTGGGACTCATGTTCTGGAGTTGAAGGATGTCCATATAGCTGTTAGGCTCTTTGACCGTCGCCAGCCTTTCAAATGATCCGGCCGGAGCCGAAATCGCGTTAGGAGTGGTAGTTGTAGGCATGATTGTTGCAGTAGCTGATTCTTGTTGAATGCTTGGAAGTGCCGTGGTGTACATCTACGGCCAGCACTTCTTATATACTCTGCACTCCATCTCTGACTCCGAATAGTGAGCCATAGATGAGTAGATGGTGAATCAACACGGTGTGAAAACTCATGGCGATACCCACATGTCCACGGGTATCACCCGTTTGTGAGTCGCATTGTGGGCACCAGAGCTGAGGTTCCCGCGGTGTGTCTATCCATATATTTCCACAGTTCAGAGTCAGAAGTTTTGACTATGTTGGATCAGCATGTTGGTGCGTCCGTGAAGCCCTTGCGAGAACCATATCGAGTAATAGACAGCAGGGGCATTGTCGCGCACTGACCTTGAGGCGTGTGTGCCGTCAAAGCGACCCGGTCACGTCAAACAATGAGTCGAGTAATCCATGACAGCGGCTTGCTTTGAAACAGTTGCTCGAAAATGACTATGAGGCTGTCATGGGTGTGATGCGGCCACGAAAGACGGAGAAGTGGTACTATGATGAAGGTTTGGTGCCGCCAGTGGTGACGTAGACCAACACGAGCATGCCGAGTGATCGAAAACATAACCTTCGCTCTCGATTGCGAAAGCGACAACTTCAACCTGTCCCCGAAAATGTTGAGAGCAACCGACAATGGCGTAGTGCTGCCTCCGCGCGCTAGTTCCGCACTCCCATCGCCTAATTCCGCGGCCCCAACAGCGGACCTTCTTCCCCGCATTAGCCGGCCTCACCCACATCAAGCCCGGGGAAGCCGCCATGGTCGAGAAACGGTAGATATATAGAATGTCCGCCTATCGCTAGTAAAAGCCCACTATCGCGTCGTGGCCCATCATCAACCTTTGACCATCTCGTTGGTTTCGGCAAGCGCAGCAAGGAGCCACTAGCGAACACCATGATCTCCACTATCCTCCCGCTGCTATCATCGCAGTTTGCAGATCATCCAGTTCGCACTATGTTCGTTTTGTTGATACTTTTTCCCATATCTTACTTTGTCGGAAACGAATATGTGCGATATTCGCGGCGCATCAAGGGGTTTACTGGGCCGACGAACTGGCCTTTGGTTGGTAATATCCCGGATATCAAGTATAACGCGGCGGAGAAGTACCGGGAATGGAGCAAGACGTTTGGTGCTGTGTACCAAATACAGCTGGGGAACGAGCCGGTGATCGTGGTGAACAGCGCCGAGGCTGCACGGAAGATCTTTGGTGGGAACAGCCAGGCGTTGAGTTCAAGACCCGTTTTTTGGACGTTCCATAAGGTGGGTGGAGAGAAATGGGGATGTTGACATATATCTGACTGATGTTAGGTACTCTCAAACACTGCTGGTACGACCATCGGAACTTCACCCTTCAACGATTCGCTCAAGCGACGGCGAAAGGGCGCTGCTGCCGCGCTAAACAAGCCTTCGATCGCGACATACATCGACCATCTAGATCTCGAAACGAAGGAGTTCGTGAAGGACGGATTCGAGTCAGGAAAAGCCGGTACCGTTGGGGTAAACCCGATGCCCATGATTGAGCGCCTCTCTCTTTCTCTTGCGCTGACTCTCAATTGGGGAACAAGGATGAGCAGTCGTCACGACCCCATGTTCCATGAGATATGCGAGGTCGAAGCAGCCATCTCGAAGTTCCGTAGTACGACTGGAAACCTGCAAGATTACATTCCACTGCTGAGACTAAACCCGTTTAGCTCTGGCACAAAGTCTGCGAAAGAGCATCGACGCCGAAGGGATGTGTATCTGACCAAGTTGAACCGCGAATTGGATGAACGGATGGAGAAAGGCACCCACAAGACATGTATCCAGGCGAACATCATCCAGGACAAGGAAGCCGCGTTGAACAAGGAAGAATTGACGTCCATCAGTCTGACCATGTTGTCTGGCGGTCTAGACACTATCACGACCCTTGTGCAATGGAGCGTCGCGTTGCTGGCTCAAAGACCGGATATCCAAGAAAAGGCCATCAGGGAGATCCGCAAGTTTTACTCGGAGGACGAGCCGCTCGCGGATGCGTATGACGACCAGAAGTGCGGATACATCGTCGCACTGGTCAGAGAGTGTCTGCGCTACTATACTGTACTACGTCTGGCGCTGCCCCGTGCGACAATCAAGGATGTCATGTATGAGGGCAAGCTCATCCCAGCTGGCAGTACGATATACCTGAACGCATGGGCGTGCAACATGGGTGAGTCATTCTCAGTCTTCTCCATCTACACTAGGAACAGCGATACTAACCACCACTCAGATCCCGAAGTCTGGAGCGACCCAGACGAGTTCCGCCCAGAGCGCTGGCTCGAGCAGCCGGATGCGCCTCTGCACACATACGGGCTGGGTTACAGGATGTGCGCAGGCTCATTGTTGGCCAATCGCGAGCTGTATCTCGTTTTCCTGCGCATGCTGAACAGCTTTGAGCTTGTATCGGAGTCGGAGGTAGACGTGCACCCTGTCCGAGGCAGCTCA